GTCTTTGCTGCTAAAAGGTTCTATTTCTGGCAGCAAGTTGTTCTTGACGAAGCCATAGTGCTCGAGCATCCTGTTGGCAGGCGCCGAGGTCCCGCCTCATGACCTTTGACGTGCGTCATACCGCCGCACATGCAAATGCACGTCTAGAAAGCCAACGCAGGAAGTGGATCCTTGAATGAAATGACGAGAGCCATCAAAGACGTGCAGGTGATGACGGAGACGGGAGAAGAAAGTCAGAGCGGGCGACGCGCTGCGAGACGTGCAGATAAGAAGACCAAATAAAGACGAGTAAAGGAGAACAAGATGGAGGGCTGCAACAGAGAAGTGATAGAGAAGCGGGGCAGGAGGCAGAGTGTGCAGTGCGCTTGTTTTTTGCTGATACAGATCAGATTTCATAAAGATCCACATGATTGCCTCATAACAAGGGGGACGCAGAGAGGAATGAGATGGAGAGATGAGGCGGAGGCGAGCAGAGACATGGAGAAATTGATAAATAGCTGCTTGCCCTCCCCGCAGCTGCTTTCTTTGTTTTTCCGGTTAGTTATTCCCCAGAGGGCTTAATATGATTATCCTAAGTGTAATTTGGAAAGAAAAAAAAAATATCAAGGGCATTAATAATGATGGAAAGAGTAGTTCTCACTCCAGCCTCTGATTGGGTGCCTTGTGTTGCTCCGGTGTTGGACTTTTTTCTCCGTCCACATTACTCCGACTGTCCCCAGGGTTCACCACTGCTTCGCCACTGCTTCTCAGTTTCCCTGATTGACAGCGAAAACCATGGCCTCATCACTTCTTATACTAGGGATTGGCAGGGGGCCAGGCACCAGGCTAAGATGCTACTGAGCCAGTGACTTACACTCTGTCTACGCTGACTAACTGAATGACTGACTTAGAGACAGACTGAGAAACACAGTGGGGCAGGTGGAGTGGTTGGCAAACACTTGAAAGCTCTCAACAATGCAGTTCGTGCAAAAAGACCCAATAAAATTAAATTAGTTATATCATCACTGCATTGTATTACCCTGACATCAACCTTACCGCTGACCGCACCCAGAACCAGTTTGGTTGTGTTCGGGTGTGGTCGTGAGAGTCCCAGCTGCACTTGTAACTTCACCCAGCAGTCACGTTGTCTGTAACTTCACTCATATACAGCCACAGAGAGGTGAGAAGTTAAACCATCATCCATCATCATCCATTTGCAGTGAACCTGGAAGCAGCGGTCGTGGTTGCTGGGAGCGGTTAATGTTCTTCATAATGACTGAAGCTGCCCCATTAAACAACCTGCAACCGTCTGTCAGTAGCCGTGTAGTTATTGAGCTGTTAAGGACAAGAACCAAGGAAACGGCTGACGGGTTGCGAACCGATTTTGGTGGCGCCACTTGTAATTGCAGGTTCACATGAGGCCCATCAGGCCTGAAAGTTTTTCCCCTGTGTAATAACTTAGAAACGAACAGCCGTGAAAGGATGTCTCTAATTTCATTTGGCTGTTAAACACCCAGAAACAACTCTCGCATTGTTTCCATTAAGTCTGATAAAAACTGGAGAACAAGCAGCAAGACTTTGGGGCTAAAGGTACCAAAAGGTTGCAGTTCTTCAAATGGCCACTTGGGGCTGACTCCGAAAGCAAGTCCATCCCGAAAGACCCCCATGTTAAAATGTCCAACTTTACAGCAGAAATGAATTTAAAACAAGAAGCAGTCTTGGTCTCTGTAGCTAGTTTTCCTATTATGACACCTGCATGGAGTGTGAGTGCATCTATAACTCACCTATTTAAACAGTTTTAAGGCTTAATGTTATGTATAATTAAGGGTGTGTGTAGGAGCAGGTCAGCAGTTCTGTATTTGATGTCTTACGTTAATGTGGGTTGATTGTTAATTTTACCCATATAAGGTAGGAACCTTTCTGTCTAGGTAGGGTTTCCAACCAGAAGGGGACAAACCAGTTTCTGAGCACTGAGCAACACGCTGAAATGTAGTGATGTTGGTTTGAAATTTAGGAAGATTTGGATAACAAACAAAGACACTATGTGCATTGTAAAGCAATAGGAATATGACTTTAATTCATTAGACATCAGTAATGTAGCGCGTCAATTAGGTTTTACTGTTTGGATTCCCTTAAAGCATTGGCTTCACCTCTACAATGCTGGGGGCACTTTGAGTCACACATAGGGACCATCACAGGACAATCCATGGCCCAGAGATGTAAGCATGGCTCTCAAACTGCACCTGCACATGAATGATGACATGACGGGTTTATCCATCCCTCTATACAGGCTATGATCTCGAAGAACGTCAGCTGGACTGTATGTCTTTCATGTGTGTAGGGAGTCTGCACAATCTCTGTCAGCTCGGCCAGAGTCGGTCCCTGATGAACATGATTTCCCCGACTGGTTGATTGTTTCTGTATTTAGCCTGAGGACATGCTAGTACCGAAACATCGCTAATAAATCCATTACTGCAAGTTAGACAACGTGTGAGAATCTGTTTGAAACTGACTGCGTCTTCAAACAGAAGCAATTTTTCGAGAACATGACGCCACGACCATTAAAAATTCTGAACAGCTCAGCAAAGTCTGTGCTGTAACCTCACCTGATGGCGATGGGAGGGCATCCAGAGCACGTTGAGCACATTTCTACATCACTTCAACCAGAACGTCGACCACCGGGGGACGGAAAAAATTAGCCTTCTTCGAGACCTGAGAGTCGCTGGACATATTTAAATAGTGTATAATTATGAATGAATAATGAAGAACGAAATGACTTTGCAGACTGATTATCAGGCTACTGCAAAACGACATGACATCAGCCGAGGTTAACTTGGAGTTTGTGGTTTAACTAAAAAAATCACAGTACAGCAGTGAGTCAGTGGTTTGCAGTATGTGGAGCAATACTACACTTTAGGTCCAGTGACTCACAGTATTGTAGCTAAAATCTGAAGTGACAACCTGCCTACTGGCTTATATAAAACATCTTGATCTGTATTTACCACGTAATTGATGTTACACATTTATTACATTTGGATAATTATCAGCATTTTATCTGCATGCATTTACAATTACTAGAGCCAACTTTACAGTCATCATAAAGTTTTGGTCATATATGTGCAGTCAAACTTTGCTGCTGCTGGTGGTTGACATTTCTGAAAAGAATATTCAAAAGTCACAGGATTACAGTAAGCACATAAGCTGTGTGATTCTGCATATGGTGCACATGTCAGAGTGTGCACATGCTGTTTGTGTGCTTGCGTTTGAATCTTCCGTGGCCGCAGGTTTGCAGAGACATTCGATTCCCCAGTGAGGACGTTTTCCTGTGTTTCCAGTCATCATTTTAGCAGTTAAATCCTACGAGCTGAAGTCGAACTAAAAATCTTTATGAATCCACCGTCACAGGCTTAAATAGGAATTCTGGGGCCTTCCAACCTCACTCTTTCTGTCCCAGACCTCCAGCCGAGCCCCAACCCTCACGCAACCTTTCCCTGACTGCATTTATAATGCATTAAGGCATTGTGCAATGACCACGATTCCAAGAAAGCTACAATAGTGCAGCAGCTGTCGAAGCACCGGGATGCCAATTACCACGTATGGCCATGTGCCATCTCTAGCGCCTCTTTCTGACTTTCACCTTCTTGTGTGCTTATACGGAGCAGAAAGGGAACAAGAAAGAAAACAGGATAGGCAGAAACATAAAGGAAATGGCTACAGCGGGAGAAACAGGGAGATTGGTGGGAGGATTTTAATGAGGAAGGGAACATGTTGTGTAATGAGAGAGACTGTAAGAGAAAGCAAAACGGCAGGAGACACACAGAAAAGACATGAGGGAAGATTACAAAATCGGGGGCAGCCATGATTTATTGAAATTGTCCAGAGTTCACCCCATCTGTCACATTTATTTCCCACACGTTTGAAGATCGGTAAATGATGTTTACCAATAAATGCCCGTGCGGAGGCATGGGGATGCTTAAATCCTTCCTCAATGAGATATTTTACATCATTCACAATCATTATTTCATTCAATCATTTTCCACACACAATTTTTTTTTTCCTATTCAGAGCAGGCTGGAGGCTACCCCAGCAAGCATGGGATGAGTGGAAGGCAGCCAGTCTGTCATATAAACAGATCAACACACTTGTTCACATTCACACCCATAGCTGAGTTTTTAGTGCATCTTGCTTGGATATCTTTGGACAGTGAAGAGAAAGTGGAGCATCCAGTAGAGACCCAGGGGAACCCGGGGAGAAGATACAAACACCCTGCCAGAGGAGCTGTTTTCAGGATAGCTTCACTTCTGATTTTAATAGTTCACCCATATTTTAATATGATGTGCAATAGCCCTGTGAGCTGAACCTACCAGAAATAAGCTCATTAGCCTTTGTTGTTGAGAGTTTGCATAAAATATTGATACCACTCTTGTGTCTGCAGTAAACATAAAGCTAATGTGAACTGTTGGTGTGTTATACAGAATGAAAGTAGGGTGACTGTGGCTCAGATGGTGGAGTGGGTTGTCTATTGATCGGAAGGTTGGTGGTTTGATCCCCCAGAACCTTCATGTGCTGAAGCGTGTCGGGTCAACACGCTGAACCCCAGGTTTCTCCTAATAGCAGGCAGCCATTATAAAGTTCCTTCTAGACTCCAGCTAAGGTTAAAAGACACCATATAAGTTACTGTTTATTAAAATCAAGAGGAGCAGCAAGCCTTTGTCTATCAGATGCTGCCTCTTATTTGTATCGACCAACCAGAACCTGTACAACTTACCAATTCATGCGTTTTTTTTTTTTAATCCGTGCAAAAATCCAAATGTCTAAAGGACAAGTTTAAACAGGGGCGTCCTAGATGTGTTAGGTTATTTCAATACCAGTCACTGTAAACAACATGACGACATAGTGTTCTTTTGTTAACACTTGCATTAGCGTGAATTGCCCAATATGTCAAACTACTCCTTTAATCTTCATTTATGTACTGAGTGCTGCAGCTTATTGTCATTGTTTCTTCTTTCTGTCCTCTTCAGGTACAAGAGTGGTTATGCCTGAACTGTCAGATGCAGAGAGCTCTGGGGATGGACATGACCACACCTCGCTCCAAGAGTCAGCAACAGATCCACTCTCCTTCTCATGCAACCAATCCAGAACTCAAACCTGAAGCTCCAGCTCCTGCACAGCCTGCACCCCAGACACTCCCCCCTCCTCAGACGCAACCTCCAGCACAGGTCCATCCGGCGCCTGGTCCCCCCAAACAAGCTGGTCCAGCTGGCCCAGGTCAGCAACCGGTAAAGCGGCTTCCAGGGGCAGTGCCTCTTCCTGGGATGGCCAAGGCCCCCTCCCAACCTGATCTGTCCCGCAACTCTCCTGCCCACCATCCCCAGCCCCCCCGCCAGGACCAGACTCGCAGCGCAGGGAGCTCCCCTTCACGACAGCCTCCACCTCCAGAGCAGACTTTTGGGAAGTTGTTTGGCTTTGGTGCTTCGCTTCTTAACCAAGCCAGCACGCTCATATCTGAGACTACTCAACCCCAACAACAGCCCCCCAAACCGGCCCCCAAACCAGGAGGACCTCCTGGTCCTGGACCTGGGGCAGGTAAACCCTCAGGACCTCAGCCTGCACAACAGGGGCCTCGAGCCCCTGCTGAGCATCAGCAGCAGCAACAACACGCTCCCCCGGACTCCTCAAAACCAAAAGTCTGTTGTCCTCTCTGTAAGACAAGCCTGAACGTAGGCAACACAGCAGAACAACCCAACTACAACACCTGCACACAATGCCACTCCCAAGTGTGCAACATGTGTGGATTCAATCCCACCCCTCACCTCGTCGAGGTAAGATTTCAATTTGATTTCTTTGGCTTTCAACTGTGTGCAAAAAAGCGTCAGCTGCCCTGCACTGGCTTTCAGACCATGGATTCGCTAAATTAAATGATTTATTGACATATTTCTGTGAAAAATGCTGTGTCACGCTGCAGTTGAATGGGTTTTGTTGTTATCCATTTGTGGCTGCCTGGTCTTGGAGTGAATAGCTGCATTTTTACAAAGGATTCCTGTGTGCATGAATCAGGTATTTGGCTTCAGGTGCTGTCAAATGGCCAGCAATCGCCTCCATTTAGTCCGTCTCTGAGGTTCTTCACGATCCCCATGATGCTGTATTCTATTGTTTCTTAGTGTTTTTTAAGAATGCTCCATCATTTTTCACACTCACTCTTTAACAGAGAGGGATTAGCACATCACTACGAATACTAACAGTTGTTTCAAAAGTGTTTAAGGCAAAGAGAGTTCCTGCAGAAGAATAATTGATATTAGGATTTTCAGCAGCATCTTCTGCACACAATGCTTTATGTAAGCCTGTGAGCTTCTTCTCTCTTCTCCTGCCTTTCTCTCTCAGTGTTTCTTAGTCAGGACATGCTCTGTTCTGCTCTGTCAGGGCCTTTCATGTAGTTAGCCGAGTGAAGTCCAAGCTGTGACTCACCTCATCAGTGACTGTTCTGGAGCGGCACAGAAATATATTACCAATCTACAGGAAACAGAGCCTAATCAAGTTCAATTTAATGGATAATTTTAGTATTGATTAGTCACATCCCGGGGTCAGCTGAGGGTATAGTCTTCCTTTAAGTGCCCCTTGTGTCACGGTGGAAATCCACTTGGTAAGAACAGAGACTTGGAATAGCTTCCAGAGGCAGGCAATAACAGAGTTTAATTATGCAAATCAAGTCCAATTGAATGATAGCAGTAATAACAGGCTTGCTGCAGAGCTCTGGCTTTTTATGGGCGAGTCTTGTCTTCCCAGGCATCTGGTTGTCACAGGCACTAGCACAGGCCATTCATAGATCGCTATGGAAACAGAGAGATAATTTGTTTGTCAGCCGTCCCTTTCATGCTTGGCCGCTGAGATGCTGAGAGCCTACAAAAACTTTCAGACTGCTGTTGCTCTGTTTTCATGAGAGACTCAGTTATTAGGTGTGCTGTGTTTCTGCTCTGCTGGCTCCAGCCTGCAACTCAATCTAGCATAAGGTGCATTCTTTCCAAACCTGTGAACGGTTTTTGTTGTCATTCCATGTGAGCTGGCAGGTGGGTCGCTCTAGAGTGGGTGAGAACCATTTGGACATGGTGTGAGGCTTTGTACTTTGAATCTTGGTTGCTCAGCTTGATTTCCACAGCTTGTTTTTGCACATTCACCCTCCTCATGCTGTCCTAATCTCTCCAAACTTTTCTGCTTCTCTGCGTCTGCCTTTTCTTTGTACTTTCTTGCCTGTTGCTGACTTAATTATAATCGTCATCCCTCGTTTTCAAGGGTGTGAGGAGAAAGCTGTGTGAGTTAGGGATGCACTGATCCTGGTGCTGGGATCAGGTAATCACGTCTGATGCTCATGCACTCTACTCGTAGTAGCAAAACATAGCTAACACGGTGCGTCCACTTTGTGTTAACATGGCATTGGTTGCAAAATGTAGGCAATGGAGGAATGATTTGCAGTTGTTTTAAGCTATGCAATGACCAGAAATGTAAGGCGGGATGTAAGCTCTTCCTTGCTAAGCTGTCAAGAGGAAGCGTGACAAACAGCTCACTTCATTATAACTTATTATACATCTAAAGTCCCAACACAAAAGAGAGTTTGCTAATGCTAGCAGCAGGACAACAACCAACTTTGTAGCTGGACAAGTGAGAGAAGATGTTCAGAGAGGACAGTAAAAATAACAGAAGCTCCACAAGTTATATTGATGTTGACTAGCTAGCAATAATTTTTGAAATTATTCAAATACTTTTGTTGCCTCGGGTCTTTGCTGGAGACCAATAGATACCAAGGAGTCATCAAAGAAGCTGTCTAAAGCTGCATTTATGGTCTGTCTGACATCTTAGGTAATCGGTTTCCTTGACAGTAGATGTCTAACATTAACACCCACTTCATGGTGTGATTGGCCAGCTGGGTGGACGTGAGAGGATCTGGGCATCTTCATTCTCTTTTCAAATTTTACTCAACTATGTGAAGGACTTCTCATGTGTACAACTAAACTCTGCACCATCAGTGTCTCCCTTAAAGACCGCCTCTCGTCAATATTAAGTTGTTGTTTTTTAAATTTGGCAGCTTGTCCATATTGTGCTTTTAACACGCTGGAAGACACACGATGAGTGAAATAAGGAGTGGATGCCATAGCTGAGTGTTTCCACCTTGAAACTGCAGTGTGCAGATATTAGAAGTAAAGATTCAGACTTCTGGGGTTTCATTTATGCCAAACTGAAGGAACCGAGTCTGTCAAATTGTAGGGTGTGGCTTTGTGAGCAGTTTCTTCTTTGAGCGACTGAATTACTTTAATATTACCACCTATCACTGAACAGTGTAGGGTCGTTTTATAGTGAGTCCTATCCACATTGTAGAGGAAACAACTGTGCAGTTACATTTAAGTCATTTCAAGGCAGGAAAGAATTATTTTCATTTTTAAAAAAAATCTAAATAACTAATTTAAGACCTGGAGATGAGTTTTTAAAGGTTTAATCAATGACCGGAAAAGGACTTTTAGAGGGTGTCTGGAAATGTTCCTCGTTTGGGACATTCTTTGTATTTTTAAAGATATTGTGAGGGTTCAGTCTAGGAGGGATCCAAAAGTGCAACACAGGGTTGGGAGTGAAGAAAAGAGGGTTTTATTTGACAGCTTCAGGGAAGCAAGGGACACCTGGAAGCTCGTGAGGGTAGCCGAGTGAGGGAGGGAATTCCTGGGGAAGTTTCCACGAAGGACAACTGAGGTTCTGCTGCCGAAGCTGGGCTGGGGAGGTGACGATCCGTCGGGGGAGGTTCTGGCAATGAACCCGGACGAAAGCACGTTAGTCAAAGCGAGTTACTCAGAGCACAAAGTTTCTCAGCACACTGCTGGCCTGTTACCACTCAGAGGAGGATAATCCACTGGCGCTGGAGCACAGGTGGAGGCAGGCTTTGTCCAGCGCTGATTGCTGATGCGCATCAGGTGTGGAGGAGAGTGAGTGAGCGCTCTCCAATCCGGAAACCCCGTCCAGCCTGAAAACACAGCCACAAGAAACAACAAGCACATACACTAAACACAGTCTCACACAAAACTCAGATCACCACAGATATTTTATGGCCTTTTTTGGCTTTATTAGATATGACAGAGACAGGAAAGTGGGGGAAGAAGGACCTGCAGCAAAGGGTCAAGAGCAGGACTTGAACCCATGACTCAGGAACTATAGCCTCCATACATGGGTCGCCAGCTCAACCAGGTGAGCTGTAACAACATGGGCAACATCTCTCCTCCTCCTGGCTTTTCACCACGCCTTCCAGTCTGTCTATTCAAGTCAACTATAAACACATTTGATTTACGATGTGGTCACAGAGCACAGAGTCAGTTCTGGCCGTACACCATAACCTATCGCTTACTGAAGGTGCACGACTTGTACAATCGCAGCCGGTTGCAGCATGCTTCAGTCTTCAGCATCACCAGCGATGTTTGCACTGGCAATGTCTGCTCAAGGTCTCCCATCAGCTTCACTGTGCAGTGGATCGAAGTGCATTTGACTCTCCAGCAAGTCATACTACGAGCAAAGCGAGTGCACGCTGCACTCACACAGCAGCCGAGCTGCAGCAGAAGCCGTCGGTGCACTTTTATGGTAACTGTAGTTTTATAGCAAGAATCCTGCATTGTTATTAAGCACTCGTTATCGGGAAGAACTCACTCGGAGAAAGCTTTTACAAATAGAAAGGACAGGAGGAGAGAATGCAAACAGGGAAAATATGGTTTCTATAAATATTGTTTTTTTAAGGTTTTTTTTTTTTTACACTGACAAACAGAGGAGAATATTACAAAGTGGAAACAATTCTTAGTAAAATAATCTGAGTTAATTGGAAATATAAAATTCTAAAATACAGTTTCAATAAGCGTTCAGTCTCCTAACTATGTCATGCAAACTGTCTCCTTTGGTAATAGACGATCACATCCTCTAATAGAATATTCCCTCACAGTGTCTACTTTGAAAAATGTTTTGTAGCTTGTGGAAGTCGAGAAAAACGTCGGAAATATTCATGAAAATACATTTTCTGTCACGTTATTAGTGACACAATGCATAATTCATTCAGAGCGAATTAGGCTGAGCTGTATGATATAAAACACAGTCAGACCCTTTTAAATCTGTGACGAGACGACGAGTGCCAATGTCTGTGCGAGAACGAGTGGAAGAACGGAGGAGGAGGAGAGGAAGGAAAGAGGTGAAAGATTTAGGAGGAGGAGGAGGAGGAGGAGGAGGAAGAAAGTGAGAATCAGAGATAATGAGTGAGAGAGAGCCAACTGTTTGTAACGTTGCAGAATATTTCACATCAATTAGTGCTGAAAGTCATGTGTGGCTCTGAGTAAATAAGATGTCCTTGTTTCGGGACTTTTCCTCCCCCCATTACGCTTCTCAAGGAGATTAAAACCAACCTTGTGTCATTGTCGTCTCCCCGGAGTTTGGGTGTAAATAGAACATAAAATGTTTCCGCCGGAGCGTCTGCTGCCCAATCAGATTTACAGCACACTTGATGTCAGCCCTCATTCCTGAAGCTTTCCGTCTCTCCTCATGCTACAGTCGAGCTTAGTGAAGCATACACGGCAGAGCAGACGCCCAGCCTTAGCTCCTTCTTGACTGTAAATACAGGTAGAGGTGTGTTTGACATATTACATTATGTCTCCGTTCCCAGCAGTCTGGCTGTAACATTATTCTCCCCGTGTCAGTTCTCCCATATGCCTAAATTTTTCGTTCCCACGCTTGGGCAGGTGCCCTGATCTGACTCTGTGTGTCTATTATTATGATATAGAAGTGTGCCCACTGTTTCTAACGAGACGGAGGT